CAGAATTGAAATCAGTTTAATATTTCATATTTTAAAAATGCATGGAATTTGGGTAAGGTTTTGGACGATTAGAAATAGTTGAATATTTCACACCATATAAATGCATGATTTTTATAGTTTCCTTAAGTTTAAATATTCATTAAAACAATGATGATTTTTTTAATGGTTTATACATATAATACAGTTGTCTTAGATGATCCGAATTTGCCGTATACTAAGCGGTTTTTCCTTCTTTACTTAGCCGTTGTTAGTTTTTATGCAAAGAGATTAACTGACTTATGGAGCATATTTGGACTGCCTTAACGGGCGCATTATTAACAATTTTCTGGTCTTTTATAAAAACCGTTATGGAAGTTTAAATTAGATCCTTTATTCGGCGGGTGATGCCGATTTTTTCTAACTTCAATAAAATACTTGCATAAAAATATAGCTGCAAATTCACCAACAGGTTTGTGAATAATAAATGGCATACCAATAAAACAAGGAAGAAAATATCAGTGCCGTTTGGGTGAAAATTTTCTTACAGTGAGCTAAGTTTCTGATCCTGACTAGTTTTACTGTTATTGCTCCCGACTGCCGTTGTTGTTGTTGGTTTTTTCTATTCTGTTTGCTCTTTCAGAAGTAAAAGATTCTTTAGTTTGAATATTATAATTAGAATTTAAAATTACATATAATTTTTTACTTCGTTTATCAGAAGTATTGACTGCATGGCAGTTGTGATGGCATTTGTTCGGCAAAAAAGCAGTAAAGATTGCATATGATTTACGTCTGAATATTTTCTGATAAATCATAGCTTTTTAGTTGTTATTTTTCTTGTTGTTTTTGTTTTTGACGGAGAATAACGATTTATAAGACATTTAATAAGACATTTAGTGAAAGAAAATTAAGTTCATCTTTTAGCTGTTGTCTGAGTAACGATTGCTCAATGGTTTTTCATTGTAGAATTTTATTTTATTTTTTTCTTTGCCTAATTGCTGATAAGCATAATTAATGGGCAGCTAATTTATGAACAGGAAAATCTGGGAAACTTCAACTGTTTTTAAGTATTCTGCTATTTACTGATACATATATAAAAAATATATATCATTGTTGCCATCGTGGGTACGTAGTTTCTAGCATGACTTATTTCTGAGACGATGCTGTAAAAATGCTGTTGTTAAAGTATAACTGAAACAGCTGTAATATTTTTTTCTTCTTTGCTTTTAGCTTCCGAATCTTTTGTTGTGAGGCTCTTTTTTAGGTTCTAGTTTTTCCACCATTATTTGAATCACAAACGTTTACTGACAATAGTTTTGGATGTTTATTTAGCTTAAAAAATCTTTAGGCTTTTCTGAATGATGACCTATTTTATGAAAAAAGCCTGCTGTACTTTGAAAGTGACGAATAAACAACACATTGCATTCAGTGGTTTACTTTTGGGCGTGTAATTTCTTTCCAATTTTTTCCCCAATCTGTTCAGCTGTTTTGACTGCGCTGTTTTTTTTTTTACCCTTATTTCCTGACTTATTTAATATGGAGTAGATTTTTTTTTCTTTTTTGAATTATTATCGTTTTTTTTGCTTTAGAGAGAAAGTTTTGTTCTGCAAAATAGTTAAGGAATGAGAAATTAATTCATCATTTGCGTGTCTGTGAATTTTTTTCGGAGAGGGGGGGAGGGGGGAGGCAATAAACGTTCGATGTTATGAGAAAACTTTTGTTAGTGTAAATGATGGCGAATGTATTGACTGTTTAAGGATGAATTTAAAACCCTTATTATCAGCAGATTGTCTCAAAGATTTTTTTCATTATACCGTTGTTTATTGTACATCTTTAAATTGACTTACAAAATTTATTGGCAAAAAATTTGTTGCTGAATTGTTGCTAATACAACAATTAGTTTTTGATTGATAGTTCAACAATATTTGGATGCTGAAGATTGTTTTTTTTCTTTGTTATTTTGATTACCAACTGATAACTGAGGTGATCAGAATTGGCAACTGATAATTTCAAATAAAAAATGCTTTAGCAGATTCTATGGGCAGATGCCTATGTAACGATGATGCTCAGAGATAAAACTGTTATTATTAAAAGCAATGTTTTGATTTAAAGAATTTGATGTGTTGGCAATAAGATGAGAACAAACAAAGAAAAAAAAAAAAGAAAAAAAAAGAAAAGAATTTAAATTTAGCCAAAATTACATAGCTTTTAAAAGTTTTTGAGCACAAAGTTTTATGTCGAAGTTGTTTTTCTTTTTTTTGCCAACTTTTTTTTGGTTCGTTTTTTTTTTTTTTTGTTTTGTTTTAAATATGACATTTTGGAGGTACAAAGTTGCTGCCAATTTTTATTTTTGATATTTTTTCACATTTCTTTACTGACATTTTGTTGTTGCTGCTTTGGTTGCTTTTTTGCAAACCTTTTCGTTCCACAGTTTTTGATTGACTTTACAGATCCGTTTAGTGCAGGGGAACAGTTGATTCAATCTGTTGAAATTACTGTTGAAGAGGCTGTGTTCCAGATGATAAATTGTATATCAGCCGAATAATTTGGTTATCCATATGCTATTAAATATAGTGCCCTTAAAGGTTTGGATATATAAAAGCAGCTTTTAACTGCTGTTTTTTTCTAGTTTTTCAGAGGGTTTTTTTTT